CCCCGACCCCATCCCCCCAGTGACCCCTGACCCTTACCCCAGTGCCCTCTGACCCTGTCCCACACACACATTGCCCCCTCCTCTCACCTGTCTCCTTGGCCAGATGGTAGAATTTATCTTTGCGGGTCTTCCCCACCTTCAGCTTCTTCCCCATGTCTGCCGCGAGGCCTGGCCAGCCCTGTACCCCAGCCTGTGCGTGTCTGTCTGTGTCTGTGTCTCACTGAGTGCGTCCTCAAGTCAGGAACCACATGCAACTTCTCTCTCCTCCCAAACTGCGCTCTACGTCACTGGAACTCGCGCGTCGCGTCACTTGGAACCTGCGCACTGCCGTGTACGTCATGGCGTCAATGCGTCGTTCTCCCCCGCTTCCCCGGGATCACGTCTCCTCCTGGAGGGGACGGAATACGCATGCGCCCGCACGCTCCACTCACCGCCCCGCACCACGCGCCCCTGACTCGAGCCAACGACCCGACGGTCGGCGCCAGAAAGGCCCGGCGCTAAGGGCCGGACGCGCATGCGCATTATGGCTCACGCCACCATGGTTGTGTGGGGATGGGTTAGTGGGGGAGGGGATGGGTTGAAGGAGGGTGTAGGAGGTCCCAGGAGAGTTGAGGGGTATGGGGAGGGGACATACCTCACCACATGGCACCTGGGGTGGCTTTTTTTTCCTTTAAAATACCCCCTTGCTTCGTAAAGTTGAACTTGCCTCCGATGAGGTTGACATGTGGGGTTGGGGGGTCGCGTTGTTTAACTTCACCCACGCTTCCACACCCCCCCACTTCATGCACATTCCCTCCCAACGAGGGCGGAAGTGAAGGGGGTTGACCGTTTCCCAGCAGCGGCCATCTTGTGCTGCACACAGCGGCCATCTTGTGCTGCCCACGCAGTTGGCACTCCTCCATCTCAGCCAAGCGAAAATGAAAAACGCACCACTGCGACTGAACGTCGCTGGCGCGTGGACTGGATGCGATGCCAGTTACGGAAAGGCAAGGTCTTAGTGATTTTACCACTGGACTGTTAATCCATAGGCCCAGGCTAACATTCGGGGGAGTCTGGGTTCAAATCCCACCGCAGCCGATGGTGGAATTTGAATTCAATAAAAAAAATCTGGAATTAAGAGTCCAATGATGACCATGAAACCATCGTCAATTGTCAGAAAGATCCATCTGGTTCACTCATGCCCTTTAGGGAAAGGACCTGCCATCTTTATCTGATCTGGCCAACATGAGACTCCAGTCCCACAGCAATGTGGTGGCTCATAACTCCCTTTTTGGATGGTCAATAAATGCTGGCCTAGCCAGTGATGTCCTCACCCTGTGAATGAATAAAAAAGAAAGCAGGCTGTTTTATTGTAGATGGTGGCAAAGGTTCTTGAGTGTTGTTGGAATGACACCCATCCCGATATTCCATCATGCTCCTGATTTGTGCCAATTGCAAACAGCATTGTCGGGGAAATATGCAATCATTACCTCACATTTCCCCAACTTCGCGTGGCACAAATCTGCTTTTTTTTTTCATTTATTCATGAGTTGGACATTGCTGACTAATACCATATTTATTTGTGGACAAGCCTCGGGAAGTCAGCAGATGAGTTACCCTCTACACAACTCCCAGCCTCTGACCTACTCTTGGTAGCCGCTGTGTTTATGAGGTGAGTCCAGTTCCGTTTCTGGTCAATGATAACCCCCAGGATGTGACAGTAGAGGATTCAGTGATGGTAACACCATTGAATGTCAAGGGACGGTGGTAAGATTCTCTCTTGTTTGAGATGGCATCTGTTGAGGCCAAGAGCGAGAGGTAAATTGACTTCTTTAACATTTGTCCTTCTCTGTGAACCAAAGGAGTTTAAAATTTTCCCTTCCGTCCCTTTTGAAACAGCTCTGGTGTGTTTCCCCAATTTTAAATGTGACCCGGGACAACATGAAAGCACAGGAGCAGGGATGGGCCATTCAACAGATCATGGCTTATCCTGTATCTCAACGCCATGTTCATGCTTTCACTCTGTATCCTTTGAGGCCTTTAAAATCTACCAATGTATCTGTGCCTTGCTTGAATATACGCAGTAACCCAAGTTAATTGTCGTGTGCTATTATCGCTACAATATTCATCTAAGGAACCAGGTGATGTTCCAAGGCACATGGTGCAATCCGCTAACCATCTGGAATTAAATGTCTAATGGTCAAAGCCCGTCCTGTTTGCATTGTCCAAAAAGTCCATCTGGTATGCCCCTTAAGAAAGGAAATTGCTGTCCTTACCCAGTCTGGCCTCTATGTGGCCTTATAGAGGTTTATAAAACTATGAGGGGCATGGATAAGGTGAATAGACAAAGTCTTTTCCCCAGGGTAGGGGAGTCCAAAACTACAGGGGCATAGGTTTAAGTTGAGAGGGGGAAAAGATTTAGAAGGGACCCAAGGGGCAACTTTTTCACGCAGAGGGTGGTGCGTGTATGGAATGAGCTGCCAGAGGAAGTGGTGGAGGCTGGTACAGTTACAGCATGTAAAAGGCATCTGGGTGGGGACATGAATAGGAAGGATTTAGAGGGATATGGGCCAAATGCTGGCAAATGGGACGAGATTGATTTAGGATATCTGGGTCGGCATGGACAAGATGGACCAAAGGGTCTGTTTCTGTGCTGTACATCTCTATGACCCTGTGACTCCAGTCCCTCAGAAATGTGATCGACGCTTGACTACCCTCTGAGTGATTGGGGCTGGGTAACAGACATTGGCCTAGCCAGGGCTGTCCATGAACCTTGAATTAATTAATAAAAAAGAAAAACCCCACGGCCTTCAGCTTTAGAGAATTCCGCAGTTTTACTACCTTTCGTCTGAAGAAACATTTCCTTGTCTCAGTCCTAAATGGTCCAGCCCATGCCCTGAGACTGTAACCCCAGGTTCTAGACTCCCCGGACCAGGAAAAACATCTGCCCTGCATCTGCTCAGTCCAAATAAAAACCGACAGAACTGCGGATGCTGTAAATCAGGAACAAAAACAGAAGCTGCTGGAAAAGCTCAGCAGGTCTGGCAGCATCTGTGAAAGAAAAAACAGGGTTAATGTTTCGGGTCCAGCAACCCTTCCTTCCTCTGTTCAGTCCAGCCCTGTTAAACCCACTTATCCGCTGTCGGAGATAGATGTTGGGCCATTAATTGCACAAATGAGGTTAAAAATTCCCTCTCGTTCTCAGTCCCTCCCTTGGTGGGGATTCGATTTGTTATTGTACCTAGGCAGAGTGAAAAGTTTTGTTCTGCGTACAGTACAGGCAGATCATGCCATTACAAAGGACATAGGGTGATCGAACAGAACGAGGAGTACAAAGATACGGCTATGAAGAAGGCGCACAAAAAGCAAGATCATCGTAAAATTCATAATTCGAGAGGTCTGTTCAGAAGTCTAATAACGGCGGGAAGAAGCGGTTCTTGAACCTATTGGTATGTGTGATTAAGCTTTTGTATCTTCTGTCTAACAGAGGAGGTTGGAAGAGATTATAACCAGGCTGGGAGGGGTCTTTGATGATGGTGGCTGCCTTTCATAGGCAGCAACAAGGTAGATGCAGTCCCTAGGTGGAAAGTTGGCTTCCCCCTGTAATGGACTGGGCTCTGATCACAGCTCTCTGTAACTGTTCCTTCGTGTCTCATAAAAACCGAAAGAACTTTGGACGCTGTAAATCAGGAACAAAAACAGAAGTTGCTGGAAAAACTCAGCAGGTCCGGCAGCATCTGTGAAGAAAAAAAACAATCAGAGTTAACGTTTCGGGTCCGGGTTCTGAGGAAGGGTCACCGGACCCGAAACGTCAACTCTGATTTTTTTTTCCTTCCCAGATGCTGCCGGACCTACTGAGCTTTTCCAGCAACTTCCGTTGTTGTTCCTTTGTGTCTGTCGTCTGCAATATCCACACAACGTGAGATTCCAGCAAGATGGGGGCTTTCGCTGTTCCTTAAAGGGACAGGGGCGGCACAGTGGCTCAGGGGTTAGCGCTGCTGCCTCACAGCGCCAGGGTTCGATCCCACCCTCGGGCGACTGTCTGTGTGGGTTTCCTCCGTGTGCTCTGGTTTCCTCCCACAGTCCAAAGGTATGCAGGTTAGGGTGGATTGCTAAATTGTCCTATAGTGCCCAGGGATGCGCAGATTAGGGTGGATTGGCCGTGCTAAATTGTCCCATAGTGCCCAGGGATGTGCAGGTTAGGGTGGATTGGCTGTGCTAAATTGTCCCATAGTGCCCAGGGATGTGTAGGTTAGGGTGGATTGGCTGTGCTAAATTGTCCCATAGTGCCCGGGATGTGTAGGTTAGGGTGGATTATAGGGGAATGGGTCTGGGTGGGATGCTGTAAGGGTCGGTGTGGACTTGTTGGGCCAAAGGGCCTGTTTCCACACTGTAGGGGATTCTATTCTATTCTACCTATTCACAGATTGGCCCATTTACCGGTCGGTGTGCCCTTTGTGTTTCAGCCCTTTCAATTCCCAAATCTCTGAAGAGAGATGCTGCAAATTCCTCCACAAACATGGATCCTCCACTCCTTCCCCACGCAAGCCCCCTTCTTCCAGCCAATGTTTCGGGTGGATACGTCCAGGCCACGCGAAACCCCTGCCCTGCAGTCCTTCAACTCGGGGCAAGACGGCAAAGCAAAGGGTGCCAGTGCACAGATGAAAAGGATCCCACCGCTGCCGTACTGAAGGAGAGTTAGGATTGGAGGGGGAGGAGAGTTCTCCCTGTTCCTCGGGACCAATAGGCATCAGAGAGTCCAATGCGGTGTGACTCTCGTGCCAGAGCTCATCAGCTCCATTTGGTTTCCTTTCTTTTCTTTCCATTGTTCATGGGGTTTTTGTTTTGAAAGTTTCAACTTTTTAAACTTACTCAGATGGAAATGGAGGAGGGGAGTCCCAGAGCACAGTCC